GCCGGCGCTCGTCGATGCTGAGGCTCCAGTGGCGGCTCCGGCGACTGCTTGGCGGTGGCTCGCACACCTGCAGTGACAGAACAGCGCTTCACGCCAGGTACACCCAGGGGCCCTGCACCCGCCGATCCTCTGCACCCTCCACGGGTAGGGGCGATGCCGAGCCCCCTAGGGTCCAGCTTGGGCTCCCAGGATGGCAGGCAGGTCTTGGCCCTGGGGCCTTCGGCGGCTTTGCACAGTGGCTCTGCGTCTGGACACCAGCCCAGCGCCTGCCCTGCTTCTCTGCCCACAGGGAGGCCGCAGACAGTGAAGGGCCCTGCGGCGGAGGCCCGAGCCCGGACGTGGCACCTGAGCCTGACCGCACACTCTGGGGAGGTGGGAGAACAGGCCAAGCTGTTGCGGCCTCGGGAGAGGCGGGGGCCCAGGGGTGCCAGACACCCCGCCTGCGCGCTAGAGCGCCACGCAACCAGCCAGGGGATCAGAGGCGGGGAGCCGTGACCTGGGGCAGGACAGTGCGCCCAGACCCAGGGAAGTCATGTCCGTGGAGACGGCCACGCGGGGCTCTCGAGGTTAAGTGACAAACGCTGTGGGCCTGGCGGGCGTGCTCCTGGGCAGAGGTCCGTGCTTCCGTCCACATGGGGGGCGTCCGCCGTGCAGGAGGGCGCAGCCCCCGACTCCCCTCCAGGGCCAAGGGCAGAGCGTGCGGCAAAGCCGGCTGTGAGCGGCAAGAGGCTGTCCGCGTGGGTCTGCACCCCGCTTGGTCGGGGCGCCCAGGGCCGCGCTGTCTTCAGCCCCCTCCCAGCACCCGCCTTCGGGCCCTCCGCTGGGGGCTGGGTCCTCTCGCCGAGTGACCGGTGTGGCACGTGTGCTTCGTCTCGCCTGGTTCACGAGTCCTCTGTCCTCCCTTCCCTCCTCCGGCCCGATCGGGTGTTGTCTCTGTGCCGCTGTCCCCTCCACGGCTTCAGAAGCGGCTTCCTGGTCTTCTGGTGTCATCGTGGTGCATATGCGAATCCGGCAAAGTCCAAAGGGGACCGTGCGCTGTCGTCCTCTCGAATGGAGCAGGAGTCCAGGACTCTTGGCTCGGCTCAGGGGCTCCCAGCACTGGCGCCATCGTGGACGCCTGTCGACTCAGCCTGGTTCCGTGTGCGACGGCCGCTCCGGGGGCCCGTCCACCGAAGCGTCGATCTGCCCACACACGGCCTTCTTCGTGCCCCTCATCCCTGCTGTGCGAGGCCTGTCCTCAGACTGGAGTGAGGGTCAGCTGGGTCCAAGTCCTTTCTCCCGCCTGTCATTTTATTTACTTATTTTGCCCCCTTCCTGAAAGGCATCTTGCTGGGCGCAGAAGTCCAGAGTGGCGGCTTTCCCTCAGCTCACGTACCCATCACCTGCCCCGTCGGGGTCGACGGCCGCCTCGCCGCCACTCCTCTCGCATTGCTTCTGCCACCTCCCGGTCCCCAGTGTCCTGCAGCTTCTCCACGACGGGCCCAGGAATAAGATGCTGTCATTTCCCGTGCTGGGGACCGGGCGGGCCTGCGACTGCCGTCTGCCGCCTTGTGCCGGCCCCCGAGGGGGTGCACGGCCGTCTCGCCCGCGTCCCGCTCCCGCATTCACGCCGGTCTTTCGACCCACATTAGGCAGGCTGCGCAGTGTGGCCAATAGCACGTTGTAGAGGCGACAGGGTGTGACCTCCACGGCTGTCACAGACACTGCAGACTCCCCTTGCTCTCTGTTGGATCACTCGCTCTGGGGGAAGCCGGCCACCGTGACGTGGGGACACGCAGGCAGCCCACGGAGAGGTCCACGGGGCGGAGCTGCGCCCTCAGGCCCACGCCCGGCACTGACTGGCCAGCCACGTGGGTGAGGCAGATTCCCCAGCCTCAGCCAAGCGTCCAGATGGCGGCGGCTCTGAGGGACATCTGACCACAACCTCGCGACAGGCCCTGAACCCGAGCCACCCAGCTCGGCAGCTCCCAAGTCCCTCACCTGCGGAAATGGGGCAGAAGTATTTATTGTCGCTTTAAGCTGCTGAGTTTGGGGACAGTTATTTTGCAGCCTTAGGTGATAGGCTGCTGGAAACACTATGTATGTTTAGGGTAAAATTCTCAAGATTCGTGGAAAGGTCTTTGTATTAAAATTCAGGATTGCACTGAGTCAGTCACTTGGGGGAAATCTGGCAGGTTTAAAACAGTAAATCTTCCCATGCAATGACCGGGTGGAGTTGCACAGCCACCGGCCCGTTTCCCAGCGAACGAGAACGGGTCTGGTCTGCTCAGGACGCCGTACTTTCTGTCACTAGCGGGCATGGGTCCTTTTTCCCATTACGTTTCTGGTTGGCCGTTTTTGGTGCAGACCGCAAACTATCACGTCTTGAATGGTGACTGTGTGCGTCTCCAGCCCTCCTATCAGCGGTGGGTTTTGTTGTTGACACATTAGTGCAAATAGCGGCCATTGCGTCTTCCCTTTCCAGGTGTCTGCAGCTCGTCCCACTGCCCCGACTGCCGCCCAGGCTGTGTCAGCTCCACGTGACACTCTGCATCCGTGCTGCCCGCGTCTTCGAGAAACACCTCCAGTGAGGCCCACTCGGCTCACGATGGCGGCCTTTCAGGGTCCGGAGATCTCCGCCCCTTCCTACGTTATCAAGAGTCGCCAGGGTTTCAGTTTCGTTTTTAAAGAAAGAAACTGGAATTTATCAACGTCATTTTTCAACTCCTGGGATAACCACGCGGCCTTTCTCCTTGTGCACATGTAGAGCGTTTTATTCGTTCTCGAATTCCTGCCCTTTGGGATACGACTTTCTTGCACTCACATGCCGCTTCGTTTATTCAGTGGACTCGCCGGACACCTGCTGGCGGCAGGCACCATCCAGGCCCTGCGGACAGGCAGTGGGCAGACGCGGCCAGCGTGCACTTCAGTCTCGTAGCTGGTGCTCGGTGGGACCTCGTTCCGGCGTTCGGTGCCACGCCAGATGGGCGCGGCGTGTTCCCCGTTTCTCCCTCTCCCCTCGGCTCCTCGTCCCTGCTCAGATGCCGGCTGCGGGCGGCGCGAGGCTCTCTGAAGCGACGACTAACTTCTCAGTCGCTTGGGAGTGCCCGGCCATAAATCCTTCATCGAGGGAAGGTCTGGGGCCACTTGAGAATTTCCTTTGCTGTCATGGGTCTCTTCGGGTTTTTAGAAAATGGATTTTGGTGACACGAGTTCAGGTAACTACCCGCAGGGTCTTGGCCTGAAGTTTCACGGTGAACGCCCTTCCCAGCCCAGGCGGCCTCCGTGGCCCGGGCCTGGCCTTTGCGGGTCTCTGACGGTGGACCGTGCTCCTCGGCCGCCCGCGGGTCCCTGTGGAAGCCTCCTCCCAGCTTCTTCCCCTTCGTCCACGTCCCGTTCCTCGGCTTCCTCTCCCGCTTTCCAGGCGGTTTCTTCAATTTCAGATTCCGACGCTTCCACCCAACAGCCCAGTTCCGTCCTGCTTACGCACGGAGAGCTGTTCTACCCCTGAACGCTCCTTTCTGCAGGATGGGGTCCTTTCCACGTGGTGGGCAGGGGACGTTTCCTCCTCCTCCTCCTCCGAGGAGCTCATGTTGGCAGTCCAGAGGCTCCCACCCACTGTCCCTCCGTTTCGGGGTCCCTGCTCTGGTCTCGTCAAACGAGAGAACCGGCGGCCACCGAGTGGGAATGCGCCGCTTGGTGCTCTGCCCGCGCCTCCTGCGGCTGCTCTGACGGCACCTGTGCCCCGTGTCCCCGTGGGCCTCTGCACCCGGCGGTCTCTTATTCGGCCTCCACAGGTGTACCCCGTCTCCTACCCGGAGGGTCTGGGACCTACTCGCTGACCTATCCTCTTCTCGCTGGGCCCCTGCACCTGCGACAGAGGCCGCGGGCCTCTGGAGGACGAGGCCGTCCAGCCCCTCTGCTGTGACATCAGTGACCACTCGGCCACCTGCTTCCTACCTCACACTCCGTTGCTGCTGCCTCTCCGGGTCTCCACCTGGGGACATGTGCTGCTCAAACACCCTTCTTGCCATACTTCAAGGTTTCAGGAGGGACAAGGGGGAGGGTCCCCTTTGTGGGACCCCTAAAATCCAGCAGAGAGAGGAGGAAATTCCCCGCTTGTGTTCGACACCCAAGGACCCGGCGGCCGAGCCTGTTGGTGGCTCTGCTCCCCAAACCCGCTACGTCTCTTTGTCCCTTGACCGTTTTCTTCTCGGAAAAGCGTATTAACCCCTCGGGGTGGTGGCTTCGTTCATCTCTCTCCACGTTTACGGCTGAGCTGTTCCCACACCCCATGGTTCTGCGCCCCGGGCCCGCAGGCGCTGCACCCAGGCCACCTCCTCGGCCGCGTTCGGGGCCCTCGGTCCCTGCAGGCGCGGGACGGGCGGCCGTGCCAGCGCGACCTTAGGCAGGTGACGACTTTAAAACTGCGAACGATAACTCCATGGAAAATGCAGAGGAAAACATCCTTAAAGACTCTGGAACTCACCACCCAAAACGAACGAGGCCACACGTGCTTCGGCTTTTCTCCTCAAGAGACAAACGCGCTGTGAGGTCTCCTCGGCCAAGGCCCCTTCCCCCGCCCTGAGCGCAGCCCCGCCGCTGGCCTTCCTGGGGGTGGGGTGGGGGGTGGGGGGCCGGGCACCGCCCTCTTCCCTCCGCTCCTCCCTGAGCATGCGCCTCAGACAGCTCCACGTGGACTTTCAAGGGGCTGAATCGTGTTGTCACTGCTGTACCGCTTTTGCCCCCAGCGGAGGGGACAGCGTAGCTGGCTGTTCCCGGGGTCCACCCGTGGGCTCTTCCTGGACAGCCAGGCACCCTGGAGGCCGCCCCGCGCCTCCCACCAGCAGAGGCACCCTGGAGGCCGCCCCGCGCCTCCCACTGGCCTGATCCTCACATCTTCGCCAACATTCGTACCTTGCCTTTCACATTTTTGTCAAATAATTTAATTTCATTTATTTCCCTGACACCAGACACCTGCCGGGGCTCCTCCCCGTGAGAGGCCTGTGCGTCTCTCTCTTGCAGGGGCTTGTGCCGCGTGTGCCCGCGGTGCTCTCCGCACGTGGTGGATGTCCTGCCCCTGGGCCTCACGCCCCGTGCCCGCGTCAGGCGTTGGGTACCAGATGCGAGACATCTCCGCCAGGGCCAACGGCAGGAAGCTTCCGCCCGTGACTCTTCCAGCTTTATACTTTTACTCTCCCCTTTACGGCTTCGGTCCACATGACGTTAACTTCTCTCTGGGGGACAGGTGAGGGCGCGACACCATTGTTTGGCAGGTGGACGTCCAGTCGGTCCTGTCCCATCGCAGGGTCTTGCTCCTCGTCGGTTACCCTCGGCTTTGCTCACGGTGCTCACTCTGCCTCAGCGGCCGTTCCCGTTGCTTTCACACGTGGTCAAACATACCCGTCTTTCCTTTCGTGGCTTCTACACTTTGGCTAGAAGGCCAGGTGCCCCGCCCTGCGGTAGAGGGACCGACCGGGTCCTCCAGCACGGACCTTCGACACGCTCGGGGCTGACGGGTGCCTGCGGGAGGACGGCGGGCGGGCGGGACTTACCGGAAGGTCTGCCCCGGCCCCACGTGTCCGCGCGTGGGTCCGTGTGTGACGTCCCACTCGGTTTGCCGTTCGTGCGTCTCGCACCAGGACCCTCTCGCTTAGAAACCGAGGCTTCGACTCTATCCTTTCTCTTCTGCCAGGGCCGAACCCATTCTTGTTTTTCTGTTTGGGCCGTGCCATGCTGAACGCCACACTGACGGCGTCTGGGTCGTCGATGACCCTGTGAAGTGCCCGGAGAACCCTCGGCATCGCCGAGCCCCCCGCCCCCACCGTGAGGGCTCCCCGCGGGGCTGCGGGGTGAGCTGCAGCGTGTCCCAGACAGGTTTGCGGTTTCCCGTTCTGTTGTCAGATGTGCCCTTCTCGCTTGTCCGTCTCCTCAGGCCTGTTCCTATCTGCAAGGGCTACGGTCCGTGCCCCCTTCCCGACCCTCGTGACGCGGACCACCTCCGGTCCTCCCACACGGACCGGGCACAGCCACAGGCCCCCCAGGACGCGTCACGGCCTCTGCAGTGCTGGGATCTGAGCCCCCCACAGTCGGCTGCACGGGCCAGGTTTCTGCGGAGGGCACAGGGCACCCCTCCAGCCCTGCTCTGCCCGTCTGGCACCCCTGAGGGTCTTCCCATTATTGTTCTAGGTGTTTCGTTCTCCGTCACAGTAGAGGCTTCTTTCAAACGTCTGGTACCCTCGGCTGTTGGTTCATACGTAAAGAGGGGGCTGAGACCAGCAGCGCAAGTAGACAGGCTTGGGGGGCAGGGCAGCGCCTGCTCTCACCACACAGCTGACAGCCGCTCCTCCTGCTCTGCCCAGCCCGGGCCCCCACAGGATGTGGTCGCCACCTCCTGCGAGCCGGCCCCCCACCCATGCTCTGTCCTGTGGGCTCCTGCCTCCCCAGAGCCTTCTGCGGTGACGTCAGCAGGCTCGTTAGCAAGCAGAGGGACACAAGCTTGCCCAGCCCTCTGTGCCCAGCCCTGTCGGGGGACGTGTCCTCAGGCTCTGGCCTCAGCCCGAGGCTGCTGGCGTTCTGTGAGCACGTCTTTGCCATGGGGGCCCTGGGGGCCCGTGGGGACCCCTGGAGGTGAGGGCGACTCCCCGGGAATCGGGTTTGGAAGGGAATGGCAGGATCGACGTATGTTAGCTGGGCGAGGGGCTCGCCGAGAGACGACGCCTGAAAAGAAGCCAGGCGTGGGGAGGACCAGAGGGACCGGGCTCGCTGAGGGGCGGGAGGAAGGGCGCCACGCAGGACAGTCACACAGAGCGTGGCCTGGAGCGTCCCTCGAGGCCACAGTGAGCAGCTGACATCCCCGAGGGCTAGGAGCAGTGGACGGAAGAGGCGGGATGACACCAGAGTGGTGAACAGGGCATGGGGGACACAGCAGGGACCCCTGCCCCCCAGTCCTATCCTGGGAGCCCGCAGAGAGGCCTGCACCCCTCTCTGGTCTCCACGGAAACCGCTCTCCTCTGTGCCACCTTCCGCCAGGCGCCTCCGGCCTGCTCTCCTGCCGCCCAGCCTCGCCCCCGCCCACCTCTCAGAGCCGCAGACGCAGCGTGCAGGGGTGCGCCCCGCACGAGAGCCGCCAGGCACGTCCACTGCAGGAGAATGTGGCTCTGACGCTGCTGGCCCCGGTCCCCGCCACCTGCTCCGGAGGAAGCCCCCTCGTGCACCCCTCCTCCCAAGAAGCCCGCATCCCCAACAGGAGACACCCAGCTGTGTCTGTGACCAAACTGCCTGTCCTGAGAGGTCAGCCTCTTGGAGGCAGAGGGGCCCGCGGGTTTGGTGGGCGCCCAGCACCGGGCAGGTGCCTCCCAGGCATCTGGTCCAGGGGGCCTGCTGTGGGGCACGTTGGCAGCTGCACTGGGCAGCTGGGGGGTGCGCTCTACCCACTGCCTCCTCCTGGCAGCCTCTGACCCTCCGACATGCGCAGACGAGGCAGCGCACTGCTCTGTGGTCGCCCACGCACTGGACTGCCACGTGGCCAGCACCCTGTGCGCCCAGCTGGTCACAGCCTGATCCCTCCGGCCAGGCTTCGACCCTATACACAGGGACACCATACAGAGCTCGTGAGCATCTGGCGTGTTTTGCCCATGTAGCGTCTCTTGGGGCTGGGGCAGCTGTGCCCTGTCTACTGTCACAGCGGCCACTGCATGGGAATCGAGCGACTGCTCATTGTCGGAGTGGGGGGGGGGACAGAGAGGTGCCTGCACTGTGAGGCTGTCACCAGCGGAGCCTCTAGGAATGTTTTGGTCATGACTTTCAGAGACGACTGCCCGCCGACCTGATAGGTAGGATGACGTCAGGTCCCCACTGTGGGGGCAGCTTCCCCTGACTGGGCTCCCTGTGCTTGGGGTGCCCTCTCAGCCCTGAGGGGTGCTGGGGGGACTGAAGAAGGCCCTTCTCCCAGGTGAGGCAGGCAGGAGTGCTGATACTCTGCCCCGACCGCGGCACCCGCTCGTCCTCAGGCCCCACTCAGCCCTGTCCACCCACATGCACCCAACCAGCCCGCCTCCAGAGCTGATTCCGGGGGTTCCGGAGGGGAGCCCGGGGGTGGCAGAGGCCAGGCTTTCTTTAGCTTACCCAGTCCTGAGTCTGCAGTCCCTGCTGACTGCTGCTCTGGGCACTGCGCTGGCCCCAGGCCGGGGTCGGGCTGAGCAGGTTAGAGGGTGGCCTGTGCTCTCGGGACAGCTGTGGTCCCTGCTTCTCCCCTGGGAGGTCTTTAAGCAAACGCTTCATGCTGTTCAGGTCCAGTTAGCAGCCTGCTTGTCTGCACTTCTGGGCTCTGAGGTAAGGTCCCCAAGGCCACCTGTGTTCCCACGGTTCCCTGGGCCCCTCTGGCCAATGGAGGCAGTGTCAGGCTCTGCTAGACTGGCCTCTGCCACTGCCCAGACAGTACCCGCGGGCCTCAGGCCAGTGAGACCAAGGTGGACTCCACTGAATGACCTGGGTGCCCCAGCTGCTGCTGCCACTTTCCTCCACGTACCCCCCCCCTCCCGGCTGAGCGGCCAGCACCCCCCACTGCCGGCCCCTCTCCTGGCCCTGGCCTCCCACCCTGGGTCCCCTCTAGGCTTGAGCTGTGTGCCTGCACACGGCGCCTTCTCAGGACCCAGGAGGCCCCGGCGCCGAAGGCGCACCCCACGACCGCGCAGAACCAGGGCCAGCGAGCTTGAAGGGCCCCAGCTCGCCCCGCCTCCCTGCTCAGGACGCCTGTGACCTCACCTCCACGCCACAAGGCCTGGCTGGCTTGAGGCCGCCCCCTCCACTGCGGGGGACGGGGCAGAGGAGCCCGCCGACGAGGTGGGGGCGGCAGAGCTGGGGACTCAGGAGGACACACGGGAAGGCCAGTCGGCGTTGGGTTACAGCTGTCTGAGTGGGGTGCACTGGGGTACCGGGGGGAGGGGCA